ATACCTATGCTCAGTGTTTCCGTCAGCAACACTTTCTCAAAGGAGAATCATGTCAGATCCATCGCGAAGACTGCTTCACAAAAACTAGGACTTTCATTCTAGGCGAAAATCTACTTTGTTTCTGTCGTATACATACTGTAAAATTCTAAGAAATAGATCACTTTCAGTGAACAAAGACTCACTATTACGATAATTGCGATATTTATACGAGAATTCTTTCCATATGTCAAAACGTCATTTCAACCAATAGCAATCCGTAATTCCAGCCGATCATGCGGTATTATACTGATAACACTGCATGATCCTCGATTATGTACATTGAACTGTCAAAACCAAATTTTAAATAAAGAGATATATAGGTGTGAGTGTTGATTGAATCAATAAAAATTATCACTGGACTGAATAAAAACTATTCCTATCATAAACAATAACTCTCCTATAGGTTATAGTTCAAAACTACTTAGACTCCCCTGCGTCAATAATTGTCTTTTGATTCTTTTATAATATTATACACATCACTTTTATGATCAATCATAAAAGGAGTATAGGTATGCAGAATAACTTTGGCTAGTGAAATGTGTGTTCTTCTCAAATTGGTGAAAAAATAATCTTCCTAGATACAACTCGTCCCTCAGATTTCATTTGATAATTTTCCATTTTCATTTGAATTAGATGAAACCTGTCCAAGGGACATTAAATTTTATCAATCTGTTCAAATATATTTGCCAAATTGGAAAGTATTCGCAAAGAAGCAGAAAATCATCGATAATATTTGAAGGAAGCGTGGTATTAGCTTCGATTATTCTTTTCACATGTCAAAATGTGACGTTTTCCATTTTTCAACCAATAGCAATCCATTATTCTAGCCAATCATTCGGTATTATACTGATAATACTTCATAGTCCCAGATAATTCACCTTGAACTGTCAAAAACCAAACTATGAATATACCGGGTGACACAGGCTATCGGGCCACCCCTGTAACTTTTGCATTCGTCAACGGATTTTTCTGAAATTCGGTACAGTTATATAAGCAACTATTTCGGATTCGATCACATTTCAATCCAATATGGCGGACTTCCGGTTTTTCTGGAAATGCCAGCAATTTTGTTTTTTCAAATGGAACACCCTGTATATTTTTACATATCCAAGTTCAACAGGTCAAAACAAGTGCAATCTTGATGTCAAATGTCATTTATTCCACAGCCTACCTAGTTGAAAAATTATTCTAACTGCAAGGAAATTCATAAACTAGTTGTTGATTTTTGAATGTATACAATTTGTTACTGCACCGAAAACCAAAAATGATATTTCATTTTGTTCCTTAATGTATGTTCTAGAGAAACGGGTAGGTGGCCCATAGGGCCCAGGTAGCACATGACGACTATATGACGTCTAATTGACGGCATCACATTCGGCCAAAAGACGTCTTTATTTTAACAAATGCGACGTCCAAATGACGTAAGTAAGACACATCCAAATGACGTCATATTTCAAAGTCTTTTAGACGTCAGAATGTGTTTTCAAATTGGACCTTAAACTGACACTACTGACCAATTTCCGACGTCAATAAGACGTCTGTTTTTTTTATAAAATTTTGAGGTTAATGGTTATAATCTGGTGAGGAAGATAATCATTTGTGCTATAAAATAAATTTGCTACGAATGAAGATTTTATTAACAAGATAGTAATGTAAGGTATTACATATAGTTGAAAATTTCAGCGTCGATGGCTCCCCTTCACAGAGAGCTCTTTTGTATGTTTTGCTGTCTTTAAATGGCGGCCAAAACACTTCCTTTTTCAACGGCGTCAGCCAAGTTTCGTGAACAACAGCTACACTGTTGCTTCCACTGTCATCAAATTGTATTACACAATACATCCTGAATACTTTCACGTGATAAACAGACTGTATAAAAATACCACTCAAACACTCAATATTTTAACATTCTTAACAAATCCAATGGCACAGACGCCGTTCACAAACAACACCCATTCGAACATGGACGATGGACAATGAACATGAACGGGAACGCACCATGTACGATGCAAGCTTGACGCTGAATCACAGAACGGACCGCTGAACGGCACTAACGCCACTAACGGCAGTCGCGAGATGGTCGCGAGTCGCATACACAATCTCTTCGCTTAATTACTTGATCGCCATTGGCCATCTGGTCGGTAAGTGAGAATTGTCTTTGGCGCTAAATTTAAACATTGAAAATCAAGGGAAGCCTATGGAATAAAATACATTTTTACCATACATTTATACAGTTATTTAGATAAATTAATTAATTAATTTATTTTATGACTTCGTTTTCCTATACATACATGATAATGATAATAATAATGATAATAATAATAGTAATAATAATAATGATAATGATAATAATACCCAAAAAAATATGAAGACCATAGATTGACGTCTATACGACGTCAAACAGTGGCTGTCCATAAGACGTCACATTAATGACGTCCGCATGACGTCATAATTTGGTCAAAAGACGTATGAGACCAAAGAAGACCTTAGATAGCGGTCCTATAGACGTCATATTCGTCAGTCTGGCTACCTGGGGGGTTCCATTTGAAAAAAAATTATTTTTGATCAAAAAATGATGTGGCTGAATTGATTCCTGGATAAGTGACACAAAAAATAATTTTTCAGAAAAAACTATGTTCGTCTGTTATGTGTGACTCATTGTGAATAGTTTTGACAACATCTCATTTATCCACGAGGTAAAATGAAAAAACAATTTCAATTTGATTTTTTTCGAAAAAATGACATTTGAAATAAAGATTGCACTTGTTTCGACCTGTTGAACTTGAATATGTAAAAATATACAGGGTGTTTCATTTGAAAAAACAAAGTTGCTGGCATTTCCAGGAATACCGGAAGTCCGCCATATTGGATTGTAATGTGATCAAATCCGAAATAATTGCTCATATAACTGTACCGAATTTCAGAAAAATTCGATGACGAAAGCAGAAGTTACAGGGGTGGCCCGATACCCTGTGTCACCCGGTAGAGTATAGAACCGACTGGCGTTAACTCTCTTATTTTTATAGATATATATAAAGATTGAATAATTATTAATTATCACTGAAGCGAATGGAAACTATTCCTTTCAGAAACAATACCATTCCTATAAGATATGGTTCAAAACTAATTATGTGCGATGATTGAATCAATAATTGATGAATACTATTACTGGGCTGAATAAAAACTAGTTGAATCCATTTAATCAACATAAACAACAACGTTCTCAGGTCATTCTTTGAGGATCACAGTGATCAATGAGGAAACATATACATACTTGCGCCTATGGACAGGACGCAACAAATAACATTTCGGGCCGTACGAAGTAAATGAATTACTTCGACTCGTGGAATGCGTATTTTTCTCGAATCAGTGAAAAAATTATCTATCCAAATACAACTCGTTCCTCAAATTTTATCCGATAATTTCTCATATTCATCACTTCAACTTTTTTATTTGAGGCCTACAGACTCGTGATCCTATCAATCGGTTTGTTTTTATCATTTTTGCCAATTGAATAAAAATTTATGAAAATTATAGAAATCACCGATAGTATTCGAAGGATTCTTGTTATTACCTTTGATAACTTCCACATGTGAATTCTTCATAAAGATCACACTTTTCTTGATTACACACGTAACATATGGAATGTAGTTTATTGAAATCTAGTCATCACTTTTGACTCACGAAAGAAACTACTACTTGTTGAAGTTTTGTATGTATCAAGTGCGTGAAATTTGTTGATGCAAATCGCGTTGAGTAGCCCTTCATCACCCGATTTTGCGGGCGTAAAAGGCCACTTCACCGCCCGTGGATCATACCTTATCACTGTCGACTGGGCACTTACCTACACGCTATGGTTCATAAAATCCTATTTAACGTCCTCGGTACATTGATAACTATTATAGTATTTGGCGTGTGATAGCCCTCGCCTCACGCCATCAGGTCATTATTCACGCCGCAGGCCTATTTCACGCCCTAGATACGAAAATGACTATTATAGGAACCTTTTATTCTTCGTAGATAATCTGGTTTGCTGAACGCGCAGCTCTTGTTCAAGATACTATCTGAAGGGATTCACTGTCATTCAAATATATAAGGAATATTCAAGACGGTATCTTCCAATTATCATCACTTGTTTGAGCTGTATGAGTCTACATTCCGGAATATATTCAATCAGAGTACCCTAGCAGCCTTAGGAACAGGGGTGGATAGGGAATCTTCTTAGAGAGGGGGAGGAGGAGATTTCGAAATAACACAGTCATGATTTTGGAGAAAATACTTTCAATATTCGGGAAAATCACGAACCAATAGATGGGTCTGAAAACGTCAAATTCAGATGTGAGAGTGGTCAACAAACATTTCTCATATGGATCCAATGTGAATTGGACGTTTTGAAAACCATATTCCAGGTATACAAATCATCAATCTGAGATATTTTTGAGAATGAGCTATTGACCAACATTCATGAAAAGTAAAAAATGTACTTCACAAAAGTTTTATCAATTCATATTGTTTTCAAAATAGTTGTACCACTTCTTCTACTAGTTCATTGGAGCTATTCAAGTATTGCTATTTCTCAATTCCTCATCATTTCCAGAAGATACAGATAGAGAGTGAGGATTTTGAATATGTTGGACTCAGTTGGTTAGATCTGTTGAAGAATAAGATAAGAAAAAAACTGGAAAATACTGCCTGAATTCAACTCTCACTGGTTTGAAGATAGGCAAACAAAATAATGAGTCCAAAAACTATCGAGAAATAATCAAAATCTGCTCGAAACAATTATTATTTGTATGCTGACATTGCAACTTGAAAAGGTACTACACCAGCAGCTACACACTTTGTGATTTTCTCGAATAGGCAAGATGCAAAACCTCCTTCGCCTCCCCTCTTGAATCTGCAACTGCTTACGAATCATTTCTAGTCACGAGTTAGTGTTTTTTTCAACTGAAATTTTTTTTCAGGCTGATCAATCATTTTCCGAACCACTATGAAATTTCTCGCAAAGATCTGCTAGTGAAAAATATAAAGCGCTACCGCAGAGACCTCGAGAAGGAGGGCAATTCACTGGCTGAAAGAGGCGACTCCAAGTACCTGCATCTCGACTTCATTCCCGTAACGTTCGTTCTGCCCGCCGACTACAACATGTTTGTCGAGGAGTACCGAAAAGCTCCTCAGAGCACCTGGATCATGAAGCCGTGTGGGAGGTCGCAAGGCTCCGGAATTTTCCTGATAAATAAATTATCGAAACTGAAGAGATGGTCAAGGGAGTCGAAAACACCGTTTCAGCATCAGTTAACGAAAGAGAGTTATGTTATCTCGAAGTGAGTCCATAATGCAAGGCCTTTTCATTAAAGCGACCTAATCGTCTCTTAAGAATTGAAAGAAATACAATTTCACCAAGGATTGATATGATCTGGAAACATTGGTATAATATTGGCTAGCAAACAATTTTCTTCCTCACTAGAATAACTGTGGTGCACTAATACAATACAACAAATATAAATACTTCGATAAATGTTGAATATACACGGTGTCCCAAAATTGCTGGGACACAGAGATTCCACGTGTAGAGGGGGTCAAAATAAGTTGACTCAATTTATTAATGTGTCAAAAATGCACCGTTTGCCCGTGAGAAGGGTTCAAAGTTCACAGGAAAGAACACATTATTGTACGCTGTTCAGAAATGAGTGAAACGAATTTGATGAAATTTTGGCGATCGTGTATTTCAGGGGATTACTTCCCTCTTGGTAATCAGAGAAACCTCAAAGAAATTGTAGAAGGATAAAAACCACCCTGGCCGCCTGACATTTTTTCAGAACTTTTTTAGGGGTCATAATAAGGTTCTGAAATTTCTTGAGCTTGAAGACTAATCAATTACCTTCATTTTATTACTCTTGTGAAAATTTCGTACACCGCATAGTTTCGAAGAAAAAAGTTCTTTCAAATAATGCTACCAGGTATATCTATAGTACAAGTTCAATTAAATTGTTATATGAAACTTAGTTAGCAGTGGAAACAAAAGCAGACCGTTAATTCATAATAAATGTATGATATGTAAAAAATTGAAATGCACCCTCCTCAGGAAATCGTCTTTGTCTCGTTGTGCGTACACGGCAAGTATCAATTCGAACTTCATACACTCGTGATTTTAACGCTCCCCAGATGAAGAAGTTGCACGGATTCAAATCTGGAGACCGCGGAGGCCATTGAATAGGTGTTTCTTGTCCCCTACCAATCCATCTATCAGGAAATTTTTCGTTCAGATATTGTCTCACTGCAATGTACACAACGCAGCCTGGCTCAAATTCTCTGACAAATCAGATGATGCAGGTCGTCAAACTAAGGCCTTCGCCACAACTCATGGTCTAGAACAACTAGTCGAACTACCAACTCGCATTCCAGATGTTACCAACCAGTTGGCCAAACACTAGATCTTTTTCTCACCAGCAATCCTGATCCATATAGAATAGAAGTTTGTGCCCCACTTGGAAACTCTGACCACACCCTCATCTCCACAACCTGCTCTTTCCATGTACATGTACAGGGTGATTCACCATAAATGCCCCCCCCCCTCTGGCTCAGTTATTTTTGAACCGATTTCAAAATTTGAAATATCTTCTCGAATGATTTTCGATAAAGTTTTTTTTTCCGCTACATCAGAAAATACAGGGTGTTCGGAAAAAACGATCTACAGGGTACTATTTGATTATTTCAAATGGAACACGCTATTTTTCATTTTATTTTTAGATTCTTCCTGAAGAGCTGATTGGATCAATGCATTACACTTGGGGTCTAGCGGGAATGATCACAGAAATAAAGGGTGTTCAAAATCGAGATTTTTCAACTTTTGGATATTTTTATGACGGAACTATTCATTATCGGTCAAAACGGCTTCCATGTCTGTGTCTCAACTCTTGATTCACTGTCTACTGACATTTAATAATTGGAACAGATACAGGGTGATCAGAATTCTGAATCTTGAACCACCCAGTAAATGTTTCATTTGAATGTCAGTAGATAGTAAATCGAGAGTTGAGATAGGGACATTGAAGCCGTTTTGACCAATAATGAATAGTTTCGACACAAAAAAATCGAAAACTGAAAAATCTCGATTTACAACACCCTATATCTCTGTAATTATTCTCGCTAGACCCCAAGTGTGATGTATTGATGGAATCAGCTCTTCAGAAATAATCTGAAAATACGATGAAATACAGGGTGTTCCATTTGAAAAAATCAAGTAGTACTCTGTAGATCGTTTGTTCCGAGCACTCTGTATTTTCTGATGCAGAGGAAAAAAAAATCTGAAAAATCATTCTAGATTATTTTTCAAATTTATGAAATGGTTCAAAAATAAGTGAGCTAGAGGGGGAGACATTTATGGTGAATCACCCTGTACCATCCAGCATCACAACTCCTACCCGTCTCATGTGGCATCAAAATTCGGCCGACTGGGAAGGTCTTCGTATGTTTTTTTCAGCGTTTCCATGGAAGAGAATTTGTTTCTCCTCAGCAGATACAAAACGATGTGCTAAGACAATTTCTGAAATCATCATGTTGGGGATGCAAACCTACATACCGAACACGGCAAGAAGAACATCTTCCGATGAGGCCTGGTTCAGTAGAAACTGCTCTAGAGCTGTCGATTCCAAACAGGCAACATTCCATCGATAGCAGAAAAATCCACGCCCTCTGACCAGAGCAGAATATGTCGAGGCTAGAAGCATATGCAATGAGACAATTCGATCATCAAAGGATGCTTATAATGCCAAAATAAGATCAAAACTTGTTGAATGTCCTAACGGATCCCGTTCATTTTGATCCTTCGCCAAAGCTGTAGGGAGAAACTTCACTTCCAGCACGTTTCCTCCTCTAACCAAGGATGATGAAACTCTAGCCACAATTGCCCAAGAGAAAGCCAACATTTTCGCGCATTTATTTGCTGAAAATTCCTTTCTGGATTCATCGGGAAAACATCCTCCAAACATACCTCCAAACTCAGAGCTGTTTCCACCATCATACCAAGTGTTTCGCAAGGATCGTAATTTGGTGTCTAGTGGAAAATGTCACGGAGGAGGGGTTATGATAGCCGTTCATAATAATTTAATGTGCAATAGTGTTTCACAGTGGAGTAGCAATGGCAGGATTGAAGAGATATGGATATCAGTGGCGCTGGATGGGGGTAAGAAGTTATATTTATGTTGCGTTTACGTCCCCCCGACTGTAAATGCAGATGATTTGAAGTTGCACTTAGAGCAAGTAGAAAATATCATTAATAATAATCCTCAGCATCTGTTTGCTATAATTGGAGACTACAATCTCCCAAAATTGAGCTGGGAAAAAGATAACAACTATAAACTCTTTGGTCTAAATCCATCAGGCGCCACTGACAAGAAAAGTGAACACTTCATCAACTTTCTCTCTTCGGCAGATTTGAAGCAGTTTAATGATGTAAAAAATTGCAATGGAAGAATTTTAGATATTGTATTGTCGTCGAGTGACACGAATATAAAAATCTGCCCCGCGATACTTCCATTCGTCAGTGAAGATCCTCATCACAAGGCACTTGAGATAACTCTAAAATATGTTGAGCAAAAAAAAATCCCTAGGAATTCTCGTATTAAGTTTTTGTATGAACACTCAGATTTCACTCAAATCAATAACTTTCTCACCAGCGTTGACTGGGATAATACTTTCAATGACAAAGATATTGATGACTGTGTCAATATCTTCTATAATATCTTACAGCAGGCAATTGATGAATTCGTACCAAAAAAAGCACTCAATAATAAAAAATACCCTCCTTGGTTTTCAAAAGAAACACTGCTTGTTATTAAACAAAAGGCAATACACCATAAAAGATGGAAAACTCTAAGAAACCCTGCTGACTATGACCGATTCTCTTACCTCCGTAGAACATTAAAAAAAAATATTGACGACGACTTCAAAAAATATGTTGAAAAATGTGAAAATAAAATAAAAAATGATCCTAAATACTTCTGGTCATATCTATCGAAAAAAAATAATATGCACTCCATTCCTATGCAAATGAATTTTTGTAATAAATCCTATGAGGGGACAGAATCGATCTGTGAAATGTTCTCGAATTATTTCAGTGGAGTCTTCGAAAGTAATCAAACCCCATTTTTGATTGCCAAAGAATCAACTCAACACGCTTTCAATATCAGCACTATAACGGAAAAACAGATAATGGAAACTTTGAACGAGCTTGATTGTAAAAAAGGGCCTGGTCCTGATAACCTGCCTCCACATTTCATTAAGACATTGAGCAATAGTTTGTTGAAACCCCTTCATTTACTGTACAATAAATCACTTCGCTCAGGCTTATTCCCATTAAAGTGGAAAATAGCGAAAGTTATACCCATTTTCAAGTCTGGAGATAAAACAAACGCAGGGAACTATAGGCCTATATCAATATTGAACATTTTCGGAAAAATATTTGAATCAATCTTAACAAAAGAAATATTTTTTATGGTTAAAAACGTCATTACAATTCATCAACACGGTTTTCACAAGAAGAGAGGCGTTATTACCAACTTAGCACCTTTTGTTCAAAACGTATTTGATATTATGGAAAGTGGACACTCAGCATGTGCCGTGTACACCGATTTCTCGAAAGCATTCGATAAAGTGCATCATCCTACTATGATAACCAAACTGGAGAATTTCGGTGTGTACGGTAACCTCCTGAGTCTCCTGACCTCTTATATACAAGACAGGCGCCAGTACGTTGCCATCAACAACTTCAACTCTAATAAAACTCTCATCACTTCTGGGGTTCCCCAGGGCTCCCATTTAGGTCCCATTCTATTCAGTGTCTTCGTCAGCGATGTGGAAAAATTCATCAAATATTCGAAAGTAGCAATTTACGCAGACGATCTAAAGCTCTATATGCCAATCGAAACATCATTGAATTACGCTGAATTTCAAGAAGACCTAAATACTCTTTATGATTACTGTAAGTTCAATAGATTATTCATTAACATCAAGAAATGTCACCAGATTGTTTTTTCAAGAACCAACAATTGTCTATCGAATGACCTTTTTATAAATAACGAAAAAATACCACCGTGTGATGAGGTGCGCGATCTTGGAATCATCCTGGACAAAAAGTTGACATTTGACTCATATTTGGAGATAACTGTAAGGAAATCCCTTCGCATGTTAGGATTCGTTTTAAGAAATACGAAGGACTTTCGTAATCATGGATCCCTAATAACTGTCTATAAAACATTAGTGAGGCCGATATTGGAATACTGTACATGTATATGGAACCCTTTTTATGAGAAATACGTGGCAA